ACACATGCCCCAACCAACGTAATCTATGGAGGTCGACCACTTGCTCCAGTGGGCGACCGCGGATACTCAAAACTCTGCTCATCCGGCTACCCTACCAGATTCGTGTAATGCTGCGTAGACAGCGGTGTTCAAACACCGGCAGTGTCTTTATCCTGTTTTCTTAATGGCCAAGTTTCTGCACCGTATAACAGGACTGGCCGAACTGTCGCGGTATACACTCGACCCTTACTTACAACAACTCTTCGATCCTGATATTTCAGTCCCCTGTGAGAACCTGACCAATTACTTCAATTGTTATTGTGTGCTGCCCTCAGGAAATGATTCATCTACAGCCCAAACGCGTCACCCCCAATAGACGGAAATGGTTACGAAGGCTGAAAGAAAGAGCATATCGCGCGAGAGATAAACTGACGGTCAAATCTGTCAACTTTCACATCAGAAGCGAGATAGCACATCCCAATCAACCTTATGCTGACACCGTGCTAGGAGAAAAATCCTGCCGTTAGCTATGGAATGGACTGAAGATTATCTGTGGTAGTTCAACTTTACCAACTACAGTCTCATGTGATATCAATGAGCTCAACAAATTATTTGCTTCCGTGAAAAACGTTGTGCAAGCTTTCTTGAGTCCAAGCACAACGTCACTTGACTTCCACCTTCCTGTGTCTGTCACAATAGAGCACGATTTAAAAGAAGTTAAATGCTGTCAGTGGAAATAAATCCGGTGGTCCTGATGAGCTATCCCCAGTGGTCCTTAAAACATGTGCAAACCACCTCGCACAAACCGTTTCATTTATCTTTAATACATGTTTGTCAGAAAGAAGACATGGCGTGATGTGCGAATCACTTCGGTATCAAAGAAAGAAAAGGGCATGTTTCGGCCTATTGCCTCATCTTCAGTATTACGTATTACTTTTGAACGAATTATTATTAAGCATCTATCCTCTAATATTGATTTTTGTGATTCCAATCAGCTTGCTTATTGTAAGCGTCGCTCTACTTTATATGCGGTTGCTTGTCTTATACATTCTATTTTATCCAATATAGACGAAAAACAAAACTGTTCACGTTTGTTTCTTAGACTACACAAACGTTTTTAACTCTGTCGACAGAAACCTCGTATTGACACTGCTACAGCGAAATAAACTCCTGTCACATGTTTTGAATTGGATGCACGACTATTTTACTGACCGACGCCAATTCACTTGCCTCAATGGTATTGGGTCTCCTACTGTAACTGTAAACCAGGATGCAAAGCAGGGTGCCATTTCATCCCCTTTTCGTGTTCTCCTTTTATATCAGAAATTTGTCAGTCATCCCAAATGTTCGATTTTATCGCAAACCAAGAAGCAAAAAGAAGATAAAAATCCAACAAATGTGATCTACCTCATCAATTGAAAGGACTGCAGCAAGCACTACATCGGTCTAACGGGGAGAAAACTAGCAACTCGCGTGCACGAACACAAACTGGCCATCAAAAGACACGATGCACTCTCAATCATCTCAATGCATGAAGACCAAGAAGGACACAACTTCGATTTCGAAAACACCAAAGTCGTCGATCAGGCCCGCACCGAGCACGCAAGAGAATTTCTGGAAGCTTGGTATTCATCGGAAAACTCTATCAACCGACACATTGACATCGATCAAGTCTACACCCCCATGCAACAAAAGGACCAATCAGCTCAAAGAACGCAGGTCATGTCACACGTCACAACAGGACGACAGTTACAATTCGACCGGTCGATCAACAACCAGCCGTCAGACTGTTCGCGTCCACCTCATCCCCTATCGACACAAAGCGAACAAACATCAGCCAATCAGGCAACGTCACATCTCTACATGACTCAACGACCTATATAAGGAAAGGGACACTCGTAAGCGCTCACCCAGTTACTGCATTGAGAATGTCACCTCGATTGATGATGAAACGTTTACAATACAATTGCCAAACACGGCGAATAACTGAACACCAAGTTTTACTACCCGAGCTACAGAAACAACAATCAACACCGTTGTTTAGAAAACTTTCATATATAGATATATATATATATATATATATCCGTGCTGACAGATTTTGACCGCCTCCTCTAAAACGTCGCCGCCGCGATAAGGAGATGGCATATGTCAATGGCAGGCGGTACGATGTCAAACGACTATCGACTCCCATCGAGACAGAGATTCAGCGCTTGGATCGGATGTATGCCGAGACTATTCTGAGCAACCATANCTATTCTGAGCAACCATAGTTGTCACGAGATGTGATCGGCCTTGAAGCAACTCTGTGAGGCGTCTAGTTCATCAAAGTTGATTCCTCCATTCTCATGTGAGATATCGCACGGGTTTTCCTGGGGGTTCTGAAGTTTTACCACTTGTCCAAGCAGATGCAGGCGTTCCGCTAACCTTTGAGATCAGAGCCGCATCCTCTCACCTCTCATGTATTGTACGCAGTGCGAATAGGTATATGAACAGTAAGTAAATATTCCTCAGATAAGTGAAAATTGCTGGTTATCTGTGCATACATCCCAATAAATTGATGCTCGGATTTAATAAATATCTCTTTGGTCACAAATTGTACTCACTTACGAGTATGTTTTCCAAAATAATGAATCAATTAAAAGATCATCGTGCAAATGAGGCGTGAGCTAAAAACCTAGGAACCACTGGATAGTTCTTTTGACATGGTCGGGTCTCACCAGTGGCGCGAATTCATCGACCCAACTGGGAATCGAACCGGAGACCTCACAGAGAGAACGCATACTATCCACTCGGCAACCGATTAGACTGTTTCGCATTTTGAATGTACACGATTTAGCACAATCCATCTTTGCGAGATTGTTGCGCACATCGAGCTTTTTTCATCTCAGCACCAGCCTCCAGAGTTATGACTCAGGTGGAAACTTTCAAAAACACGCCAAATATTGTATGAGAGGAACGGAGAATTTCATTTGGTTGTATGATGCATTCGTCGTGTAAATGAGATGAGCCGAAAAGCTAGGTACTATGTTTGTGTTCTACCGGCCCCAGGTCCAATCTCCTACTGGGTCGATGGATTCGCACTGCGCGGATGAGATCCAACTAGATCGATACAGCTGCCCAATGCTTCTTAGCTTTTCAGCTCCGGCCTCATCTACACAACAAATTCATCATTTAAAAAAATCAAATCCTCCATTACTCTCATTTATATTAGTTATAGTGCACAACACATTTACTCAAAAACCGCAGCATGTCATAACATCTGTTCGCACATAAAATGCAGGAAATTAAATTATGAAGTATTGAGAGCGAGAGAAGCCTGATTAAAACTTTCGATTCACTGAAACGATCCGTATGACATCCCGATATGTGACAAATTTTACGGTTCAATAAGGAGTGCTCGTCGAGGAAGGCTTTCGCTCAATGTTCCTTGATTTTCGACCCGGCTTTTGGCAATAGTGTAGAGCTGACTTTCTTCGTATCAGCCGCGAATTCCAAAAGCTATTCTGGTCGATGAAACTGACACAGCAGATATCATGATTCTATAGCCATACAGCGCAAAGAACCTAAAGAAGTTTGTTTGGTCCCTTTCTCTCGACCTTCTCGGGGCATTTTGTTTAGCCTGACCGATCGCTGATTCATGAAACATCGAATGCGATAAAAGCCAAATACAGGCTCGCCAGCACAAAAGAATGGGTTTACGAGTGCGGTGTCCCACAAGCTTTGAAACGCGAACACTACACCATATAGCAAGTTTAGACGAGGAGTCATAAAAGGACCACGAAGTAAACAATAAGATAAATCGCAAATAGGATCTCAATACCAATATATTTAATCAGTTAATATAGATTTATGTATATAAGGCAAATAGAAAATCTGATTCATCTGGTATTTAGAAAACACAGCAAATGCAATGTAATATACGACAGAACTATCGTAGAAAAAGTAGTACCTGAGTAAAAAAGAGAGGAGTCAGGTAGATAAGCGTTCGGGAAAGCGGTGACATTTTCACTTTGAGGTCACATTGTGCTCGGTGAAGCGTTCAACAAAAGCCGGAATTGAAAACCATTTCTTGCATCCGTTGTACGTCATGGTGCGCACCTTACCGAAAATTGTGCGCTCATTCCAACCCTGATCATGGATCCCGCATATGGCCCACATGATCCCTAGAGATGACAGAGAAAAAAGAGAGATCCTGTGAAGAAACACTATGAGTATCATTTTAGCTGCGATTCGCTGACGACATACCTAGGTTAGAAATCCCCAACAGAAACAGTACCCAATAAAGGAATAAGTGCATAAAAACACAATGACTGAGTAGCATCCTGAAAACGGGTTTCGTACGCACAGATAAAAACAACACGAAAAAGTGGAATGCTTGTGGAAGAAAATTCATCAATCGTAGATTATCGTTCGATTAAAACATGCGAATAAAGAATGGTATTCACTCACGCAATCAGAGCTGTTTCACTAACCATACAATACCATTTGCGGGCTCGAATGAAGTCTTGTTCACATACAGTACTGAATGCGCTCTTTCCATTCAACTTAAATTTCTTTCATGCCGTCAAAAGCCTCAGTATGGTCGGGGTGAATATCTCGGGTTGTGGCTGAACACTCTTCCCTTGCACTTCGCGAAATGCTCCTATACGACCAAGAGTTCCAAATACCCTCTGCTGAGTAAGCCCTACTCACTACCTTTCCGTGGCGAAGATGTTTTCCCCCGCCGAAATGAGGGGACGAAAAGCCAACACCCAGGGTTATAACCGGTTCAGTGAACCACAGGCAGTTCACTTAGGGGACTTGGCTAAAGGCGTTGATTCCAAGCCAACCAAGGAGAGCTGCACGAATCACACACACACAAACATACACACACACACACACTGTGGTTGTGGCAGTGGTCGCTGGTTCGATTGGGTATCGAAGTGTATTGGGTACCCTGGACGTTTAGCCCCATCCAAAGGTTGTACGTTCGGATGAACTAGACACCGACCCCCATTCGATTGCGGTTTTCGCATGCCGGCAGAAGCTGCCTTACGAGTTAGTCTTTCTTAGTGGTAGT